ACCCACACCCACATACCCACACCCACACCCACATACCCACACCCACACCCACACCCCACACCTACACCCTCACATTCACACCCACACTCACACCCCACACCCACACCCACACCCCGCACCCTCACATTCACACCCACACCCACACCCTTGTGAATCTGTTTCGAAATAAATTTTGATCGATCATTAGTGATATCTTTTCGATTCAGAAAAAAAAATATAAAGGTTGTATTATAATCAAATCGAATAAGATCAAAAAAAAAATCGATTATATACATTCTCACTTCAAGTCAACTTTGATGAAACATTAGTCAAATAACGATTAACTGTGTCTCCACATGAAATCGGGCGTGATGATTCACTTAAATGATTAGAAAGTGAATAGGTTACGACATCATAACTTATTTTCGTTAAAAATACCAAGCTCATAAACTGAAGTACCATCCGATTTAATTCGGAATCCCACAACAATGAGCCCATGATTAAAGGCTGCTAATAGTTTTTCATCAATTACTTTATAAGCATTGATAGCGCGTACATCTCCCTTACGTTTCCATTCTCCCGTCTCAGCTGGAACTGTCACTTCATCGATGACCTTTAGTTCAGGAATAACATGCGCATTTGATATTTCCAGGCCCAAGCATTGACGGACATGTAGAGAATCAAGCCACCATTCCATATGCAGTCGACCTGCAAATGGTCTTGGATTCCCTGGAGATGAAAATAAACCATAATGATTAGTGGAATATCGTCGTCCGATGCTACCGATGCGACTAATATAGATATGAGCATTTCGTATCTCTGTCGGATCAAAATTATATTTGATTAACTTCACGTTTTTGCATAATGCATATTCGCGCAATTCTAGTATCAATCGTTGACCAATATGTTGATTACGTGCGTCCGGATGAATTCCGAACATCTCGGCATGCCAGTACATACCTGTATTCTTACTCGGGAGAATGCCTGCAAACGATAATACGAAACCAAGCAGAACAGGCGAATTATTATGATATCTATAAGCACCTAATACGATACCACCTGTGTTGATGGCAATGATAAAAGATCGACGAGGCATTAGGTCGAGATTACTTTGCTTCCATACTAACTTCTGAAGAGCAACACACTCATCCAACTCTTCATGCGTACAATACTGTTTAATTAAGACATCCGAGTTTACTGAAACGCTAGTTGACACATTTTTCTGTCCGAAAATGCGTCCGAGTGTGACGTCTATGTAATGTCTGGAAAGTAATGAGTAAATACTGCCACATAAATTTCCAATACCTAGTAAAGTAAATAAAACAATGATTTCTAAAGCTAATCAACTTCACATGTTTTTAAAACTGCAGAATAGCAGAAATAATACTGCGCATGGTTTATTTTCTGATAAACAGTCAAGATTAAATTATATTTGTCTTTCACTTATCATTTGTGAAGAACTCTAAAAAAAGTTCTTTTACCAATAAGGAGTGCTAAGAAATTAGAACAGATAAAGCATTACCATACGGCATCGCAACAATTGTCTCCTATCATCATTGTGGGTGTGGATCTTCCGTTCATCCATACCCACACCCACACCCTCAGAGATGGTCTTGTATTATTGGAGGGTGTATTTTATCATGCCGAGCTTCGTTTTACGATATCATCAAAAAAAAGGACTGTCGGAGAAACAAAAACTCAACGATTTTATTTTGTTTATGTAATAAGTTTAAAAATCGATACTTCTAACAAAGCTTCTTTTAGAAAACCATGCCTTTTGATTCAACATGATTTGATGTATTGATTGCAGATATATTTGTATCGTGCAGAATTTTAATTTTCAAATTATTGTTACATAGTTTGTAGCCGTCGTTAGCTATTACTGTACCTTACGAAGACCATTCTTTTCTCGTCATACTCACCAAAATATTTTGTGTTTATTGTTGGTGTTTTCTTGTTAAGACAACAAATAGTAAATATTGAGCAATAAGGATTTCGAGGAACATATTGATAAAATCTTGGTGTATCAGGTGCAGCTGATAGCAAATGTACAAGACTGCATTTGACCATTTCAAATCCACTCGAACGTTTCAAAGCAACAATCTTGATCATCTTCTATCAATTGCTATGCAGAATAAATCTATGAGTAAAAGATCATACAGACAATAGTCAAACGAAAGAGTTACAAGATCGGCAATTCAACTAACACCCAAGATTCTAGCATTTTGATCTGAATTTGACTAGGCAAAGGATCAGTACATTTAGCAAGAATGTGTCCGTAAAACACGAACGTATCTTTTTTTTTGCGCAAAACTTCCAGTTCTAGTGTCAGTTAAAAGACACAAAAATCTTTCACAAAAACAAGAAATAAATAAGTTTGCAATTTCTGACAATAGGAAACAAATTCATTCGAAGATGATTGGACCCTCTGTATTGATTAAAAAACCTATGAACAGTTATTCGCTGTTGTTGCGAAAACAAGGATTCAAATGCAATTATTTCTAATGTGTTCTTCGATTCTTTGAGTGTGTGATGATAGAAAGAGAGAGAATAGTTTCATAATTTTCGCTCTATAGACTTCAACATTGAACACTTCGAATCAATTATCTCGAATAAACTAATGGCCTATGGATTCTGCAGCCTTATTCAATTTCGGGTGTGGATGTGGATGGAGTCCTAGTATTCTTTTTAATGACACTTATGGTCACACCCACACCCACCCATACACAAAAAAAAATTATAAAAATCAACTTGGAACTCTTTAGCCTAAGTGCATGAAGTCTATATATTGCCAAAATCGATCCTTTTTTCATAGACAAAAGGAATCATATTTGGATGATTTATGTCAAATAAAAACTGAGTGAATGCATAAAATATAATACTTAAATAGCTGATTTTGTTCAATTTTCACGCTCGATCTTCAAGTATATCCGACAAAAAATTTCGTTGACTTGCTATCGAACTAGGTGGTCCAGATTTTCAGCAACAGGATGGTTTTTTTCATAAGGTTTAATTACTTTATCTATAGTCAATATTCCGCGTATAGAAAGAGATTTTTCTGTTATTTTGATGGGTTCACCGATATTTCCACGCCGACACTTTCGCGCATGATACTATGGTATCGACACTTACGAAGAGTATGGACTGTAGATGTGAATATTTTTGTCCTGAACCACATCCACACACCCACATGAAATCGCCCGTCAGTTCGAATATGGATCCTACTCCGGTCCGATTAGGCTTCACGTCTGAAAATTCCCTATTTTCTGGACTCTGTTTGGAGTTCCAGCAGGTCCAACAAAGTTTAATCAACCGCCTAGACAGACAAGATTTCCAAAAAGAATGCGTTCAAACACATCAAGTTTTCGTTTTAACGCTGTTTGAAAGATACCTTCAACGCGTTTAAACATGTTAAGAAGGTATGAAGTCGTTATAACGAGTAGTTTTCTTTGAAAAAATACGCGTTTTTATCAGCTGTATCTACAGTTATTACAAGTATTAACGAGTTCAAAATTCTAAGTATGTTAAAATGCAAAAATTTAAGTTGAAAAACTCGATTATTTCGTTTTTCTTGAGTTGATTTTACTGCGTTAAGCATTAACTCGTTAATATCTGTTCTTTTCAACGAGACTTAAAATGTATCAACTGACTTGCTTCTTTAACACTCGTACTCTGAAGCCTATTTTAGACACAACAACTAGTATGCGTTATCGATACAGTATCTTTTTCGTTTTCCAATAAGGATGCTAGTTAAAACAATATTATTCACGTGTCGAGGTCGATGAAAAAGATGATATTGATGCCATTTGTTAACGATGCTGTTCACTATTCTAATCTGAGAAGTAAAAGAAAACATATTTTCCTTTTATTTTCGTATTTTCTAAGAACAGGGTCTAAAATGACCCTGATCTATAGTACAAGTGTTAATTACAACTAAACATTGTTCCCCATTCAGCAGGGAGTAAAAAAATGAAAAGACTATGCAGCAAATGTAAGAACGTTTTTATAGGACGACATGATAGTATACATATTAACAAAAGAATATACATTGAATGACTATCTATATAAATATTGGCCAAATTTAATAAACATCTAGAAACTTCTACAGAAACACATCAATTTCAGCTTACTTTTATTTCATATCTTGCTACAAAATCACTCCGAAAGAATTGGTATCTTTCCATGAGTATTGTAAAAAGAGTAAATTTTTGAACCATCTATCTATCAAAGCACAACACTCGAAAATTAACTTGTTAAAGTTGTTAATATATCTTTTCCAATATATTTTTTTATATCCAAATACCTGTGAGAGACACATTAGACATCTGAGAAAAATAAAACCTGAACCGAAAGAATTTATTGCGATGGAATGAAATGCATTAAATTTTCTCGTATTTTATTTGTTATTGTTATTCGACACCATTATCAATCGTTGTTTTTTTCATATCCTCTTTCCCTATTCATTTCTACTCGTCTTCAGCATAAAATACTAATAGTCCACATATTTTTGATGATGAAACCTTTACTGCTCTTCTTTTTCTTCTCCTTCTCGTTACCTTATTCTTATCGTTCTTTTTACTTGCTCTTTCCTTGTTTTTTTCTTGCATTATCGACCTCCATTTATAGGTTAATAAAAATGAATTTAATAAAAAATATAAAAATGTTTTCATTCTTTGTTGTAATTTTCTTTTATACTGGATGACCACGATAAATTATTACCTGTTGTTAGAGATCATTTCAAGATGTGGTTAAAAAAGGGTGTGGCTGTGGCTGTGGCTGTGAGATGTGGGTGTGCATGAAGACAAGATTGGCACCCACACCCCTCTGCTGAAGATATCATGGATATGTAAAACAGACTCGTTCGCCAATCAGTTCAATGATTTTAATACTAAGAATGTGAAATTAAGAAAAACGAATTTAAAAAAATAAAAAATAATGAATCAATAGCAATAATGCAAACAAAGAATAGGGCGCCTGTAGAAAAAATTAAAAATTTTCCGTTTGAAATGAAGAAATTAGAGAGGTTCTTACTCTGATGATCGATTATCCTGTAGAGAACACATATGAGTTCCACATTTTAGTCCCGTAGGGGCTGCGGTAACAAGCTTTTTTATTGATTTTGTCTGTCTGGACGGATCCAGATCTTGATTCAGGTCTAAAAAACAGTTAATGAGCCAGGTTCAGGTCAGGATAGGGTTTGAAAGACGTTCAACAAACTGTGTCTGAGCCCAAAAATTTTGGATACGATAGGCTCTGATCCATATTCACGTTGTACACCAGTACTCTACCTTGTTGTCGGTACAGTAATGCCACGGACAGAAATATCTCTGCGCAGAAGTGTCGTGTCACAACTTTGGTGGTATAATAAAACCGAAAGATCAATGTTACTCATCATGCGCTGCAAAAATAAGCGACCTCTCCATTATGTTAAATCCGTAAAAAATATCCTTCGATGTTTTATAGATTGACAACAGCAAGTCTCATCCGTCGATATTTTTATTAACAAAAATTTTACAGTAAAAACAAAAAAGGATTTTTTTAAACAAGAAAAATTGCGAGAATACGAAGCATATTTGCTCTATATACAGATGTACTACAAGAAAAAAAAAAGATTCACTATCGTGTCTAACATGTTCTTGACACTCGATAGATTTCATCCAAATACCTGTAGATTGTTATAAGTTTGTTGAATTAAAAAAATTTAAGCAGCTATAGAATGCATCAATAGCTTTCGAATAATATTCCACAGCTCGAGTACAATTGTTTAAACGATGACAAAGATCTCCCATATTACGCAAAGTTGTAACCGTACTCCATTGTGCTGTGATAGATCCGTGCTGATTGATACTTAGAGCATGCTCATGAAGTTCAAATGCAGTATGATAATCGGATATATTTGCATATGCAAGTCCTAAGTTGCGATAGCTTTGAGCTAGAAGTATATGATCATGTGGTAGATATTTTTTTCGTATGTTTAGTGAATTATTGAATAAGTTAATGAGTTCACTTTGCTTACTACATAAGAGACTAATATAGCCAAAATTATTCATATAAGAGGCAATTTGTAAACCATCAAATGAATCTTGTACATCAATTTGTGTATAGATTTCTAAAATACGTCCACATTCATTCAGAAGTTGATTCATATCAGTTTGCTGCCATTGGATAATACACTTAATATACTGAATATACGCCCAATCAATCGATTCGTAGGCTAGCCATGGTAATCTCTGTCGATCATTTGACGGAGACTTGAAGTTTCTATTAATAGTATCATCCTGTTCATGTTGTATCATTTTATTTGAACAGATTATATTACTTCCATACAATATTAATTGAGATAAAGATACATTGGGTGATCTTATTTGAAAATCTTGTATATCTACAAGATTTTCATTTGTGGCTATTAATTGACACAACCATATATCATTTAACGTATCAAAAGTTAGCATTTTAACTCGAAATGTGCTACCAATATTGAAGAGAACTTCACATTCTACATCAAAATTACTCACACGACTAATGTCAGCAGCGATGATTGTAGGTGAACTCAAATCTACATAAATTTCAAGTAATACTGGTCGCCAATTTTCTTCTTGTCCGTCAGATGGAGATGCATAGGTTAATGCAATATCTTTATTTCGACTTGTCGACATGAAAGATTTAACAGCAACAACACGACCAACAAGGTTTCGTAATATATTCAATTCGTCATCAGATTGTCGAAAACCTCGATATAGAGTGGTCATTCCTGCTTTCTTCATTAATTTTTGTTGTTGATATTTTAATAAATGAAGTTGTACACTCAAATCAGCAATATAAAAACGTATTGAATAACATTTGTCAATATCTCCAGAACGTAATGTTTTATTTACACATCGATAGACAAAACATTCTTTCGTGTACCAATAAATAGAATGCTCAGCTCGATATTTTTTTGAGAAATTTCGAATATCTAACAACGTACTATTATTGGCATTGAGTTGTAGACAGAAATCAAGCATAGCTGGTTTAGCAAGTGCACTTTCATGTATCGTTGAAAATACAGTTTGTAATAATTGTTCATAATAATGTCCATTGGGTTGTAATAATTGTAATTGCACCAATAGATTAGATTTTGAATCAGCATATTTTCTAATTCTCTGACAAAGATCTGTCGTATCATACAAATTACGAAATAAATTCTTTGAATGATCAGAAATAGTCTTTTCAAAGGTCTTCTGTTTGGATGAAAGAACGTACAGAGAATATCTTTTAAGGTAGTTTTTTCTAAGTTTACTATAACGTAAAATAATTATCGGCATTTTACAACACTACCAGCTACTATAGCTCTCACTAAAAGATTTCATCATCAATATTTAGACCTTGACTTTTTTTGCGTTTCTGCGCACGTAAGATGATATACTCATCCATGCCTTAAGGTTAGATGATTGATTTTTCGTATGATGTTTTTATCGTATTACGTAGCTGTTAAAAATCCCTCGAAAAAGATCAACTCATCAACTTCCGAGTGTTTGATTACACATAAATTACGTCGTATTTGAGACGCAATAAGAACACATTTTGAGTCACAATTACGTATAAAGTGTAATCAATGCCTTATTTACCAAATAGTAATGCAGTGACTAAACAATGTTGCTGACAATGGAGGTGTGTGAACTGTTGAGCGAAAAGATTGACTATATTCGGGTCAAAAGAAAGTTTTCAGTGAGAAACTAACAAATTTAAAATATGAGTTGCGTATGGCTTACCTGGAAAGAAATATTCAATTTTTAAGTTATGCATTGTTAGGGTATACAAGCATGATAATATATGAATTAGTCACATTAATCGTTTAATATAATTATCAGATTGTTAAGAAGTGAGTTTCTAAAATCTAGGTGAGATTTATTGACAATATTGAGACATCTCCAGATATACCTTTCGAAGTTTAACGGTATCCAATTCGAAAAGAACAATATTGTGTTTGAATATTGTTCATAAGTAAGATATTCAAAGTAAAGTTTTTTCTTATTTACCACCACGATTAACACTTAAAATGATTACTCTTGTCGATTAAAAAGATGAATTTGGTGAACATTACGAAACATCTTTCCCATTTAACACAAACGAAATTTTTCTTTGAATATTCTACAATAACTGCGGATGAGATCTTTGCTTCACAACAATTGTTCGAAATTTTAAAAACATTTAAAGATAGTTACTTTAATGAACTATATACTTATCAAAGTCTTAATTTTCATGACGAATATGATGAAGTTTCGGATGAAGAAGAAAATATTGATGATTATGATGAAAATCAATACCTGAACATTAAGAACAGTTTTACATTAGACGAGATGGAAAACATAGTGGAATGAGTTGATCAACATCCAAATTATAAATTTGCATCTATTAAGCAAAGGTTTCGAAAAGTCAAATATATGCATTACATTGCAAGATTTAGAGAATATATTAAAGCAAACGACACAAGATTAGAAAAAGTAAAAAAAATCAAAGAATTTGTGTGGAATGAATTTTATATGAAAAAAGCAATTGAAAAAGAAGCAATTCATGATAGTAGTCTAGAAATTTTTGCAATTCAAAAAGCAAGAGAACTAGATTGCGATAATTTTATCTAGAAGATACAACAAACTTATTACTCATGTTTCTTCGACCAGAAACGTTTGTAGTTTGAAGGGTATGTAAAAGCTTCACTTGAGACTTCAATCTATTTACTAGATCGAAAATCAAAGATCTTTAATTTCAAATTATTCTTCTCATGAAATATTAACCCTTTAGGGACGGTTGGCCCCCTAAGGGGCCATAGTGACTCTCTAGCATTTCATAACACACAGATTCCTATATGAGATTAGTTTTCGTGAAAGCATTTATCAGAGAGTTCTTTGGCATAATTTGGATTGTAATTAGGTTATTTTATTCAGATATCCAGTAATGGATAATAAGTTCTTTTAGAATATAGAAATGTTGATTGCTTTATGATGAAATATACAGAAAAAAAACCCGCCCCCAAAGGGTTAAACAGTGACCATTGTTCATTTCAACAGAAATATATTTCTTCACGTACTCTTTCTTTCAAGGGTGAACGAACAACAGAAGTTGCTGTTAAAAAGAAGAATGATATAACATACTCTTATACCGTCCAGCCTATTACATAAGCTGATGGTCAATTATTAGGCAAGTTTTTCCTTATTCTTCAAGAAAAGGAAAATGAATTCGGTAAAAGAGTAGAGAAGGATTTAAATGTTCCACCAAATGTCATAATACGGGCTTCAATATTTGGAAAAAGCAGCGACGAAAAACATCGCGCTTTTTTAAATGAAGTCCTACGTCCTTTGATTGACAAAATATTCCTTCTTTTCCTTGATTGTTAGACAACTCAAACTGATCTAAAAAAATTTAGAGCAGTATTACCACATCAAGACAGTCAGTTACTGATTTTTCCTAAAGGATCAACTGGTTATATTCAGCCACAAGATTTATCTTTATTCCGTTCATGGTGATTTATTCATGAAAAAATCGAACAGAAATGAACTTGAACGATCGTCAATATTTCATAAATATGCACTGTATCATCCACAATCAACTATCTGCTCCACACTTTAAAACTCTTATCAAGTCTGGATTCGTACAAGCTAGGATACTCAATGAAACAATTGATGAAATAAAGAAACCAGAGGACGTTTGCTTTAAATTCTATGATCTTTATTGTTCAATTACTAATTGAGAGAAACAAACTCTTCTCGTTTGTGCTTGGTGCGAAAGACACCTTTGCTATTATCATTTGATTGAAGACCTTCATCTCCATCTATAGTACATCTTTTGAAATATTATTTTGTATAGGTTATTAATTTCATATAAATAAAGTCGAGATCGAGACTATCGATGAATAGACGATTTCTATATATAACAATCAATATATTTCCTATTTGGTACCATCAACTTCAGAGGAAGTTGTATTTAGAGACGTCTCAATATTGTCAATAAATCTCACCTAGATTTTAGAAACTCACTTCTTAATTGAATATTTCTTTCCAGGTAAGCCATACACAACTCATATTTTAAATTTGTTAGTTTCTCACTGAAAACTTTCTTTTGACCCGAATATAGTCAATCTTTTCGCTCAACAGTTCACACACCTCCATTGTTAGTCAAATCCAAAAACTCAATCTTTCACATACTGATTATTTCAATTTCGAAACAGATCAGTTGCAATTGTTACTCACACAAACAGGTCGCTTCCCAGGTCGATCATTCCGGCCGCTGGAAACGGCGCCTTATAAGGCCTGAAACGGCTATAAAACGGCATAATTCCTACCGTAAACGGCGCTAAAAGAGGGTCGTTTTTGGTCGTTTTCCACCGG